GTGAATTTCAATATTATTTATACAAGAAAGTAGATTGTGTTTCGAGGTGGGTAAAAAAAAAGAGTTCGTGCGTGGAGTGATCCCGGACGTATAGGGGTAATTCTGTAAGGTTAAAGAAAAAATCATATTGAACAAAATTGTTTGACAACAGTTTCGAAGCTACATAACGTTAATATCAATATTTTGTGTCAGATTTATCGTGTTTGAGTAATAGCTACTTAAACACGAAATTTTAGATTATAAAACTAAAATTTTTTTTACTCTCCCCGATGCAGTAGGAATGAATCTTCTTGCTGAAATGCAGTAGGAAAGGATGCAGCAAGAGGAAGATTCGCCATACATAATTTTAATGTTACTCATATCGTTTGCCAAGTAAAGTGATAAAATATGCAAACAAATATTTAGATAAGCATCTGTAAAAAAAAACTGTTCTAGGTAAGTAAGTACTAACAAAAAATACAAAAAACTTGAATTTTGAAATAAGAATATACGTATATTAAAAAAACATACATAAATACTTAATCCATAAATTATTATCACTTTACTAGAGAAACGATAAAAAAAATTAAACTGCTTGTAAATAATATTGAAATTCACTGTACTTATAAAAAATGTATACAATTTAATATTTTAACTGATTACACAAGCATCTACATGATAAAATCTATTACTATTACTGTACTATTACAAGTATTAAAATTTTTATAAAATATTATAATTAATTATAAAATTTCAAGTACTTCTACTTAAAATACACATTTAGTATAATATTTACAATAAATACAATGTTTGTAAACCAAGTATACCTACATTCATTCAAGCATTCTTCGAAACAACAAATTATCTTTATTTAACACGACAAATTATCGATTTTTCAAAGGCAAAATACTTTTAATACGGCTAAGTGTTATACATATGAAATATAACAGAATTCATATTTTTAATAATAAAAACAAATAACTTAAATTAAATTAATAATAAAATTTAGTCAGAATATTATAATTCTTTCCTCAAATTAATAATTTAGTATTTTAACTTAATACAAGTACTTAAATTTAACTATATTCAATCAACAATCTCACAAAAAATAAGTAGGCATTTTCATGCTAAAGTACCTTGTACATTGTATAAGATAAGGTAAAATTGTTTACCTATACGCAAGTGTGTATGTTATAATAATAACGTATGTATGTACGTGAGTAAAAATTTCTTTTTTTCTTTTTGTAAATTTTAGCGGTTAGAAATATAATAATGTGTATGTAAATAAGTGAGTAAAAAAAATTATTAAAATCTGCACACCGAAAAAAAACAAGAGAAACACAAGAAATGGAAAAAAAAATAATTTCTGCAAAACCTGATAAAATTCACCTTACTCATTTTAATTTTATTTTTTTTTTCTTATTTTTGTTTTAAAATAAAAATAATATGAAGTTGCTGCAAAATACACTAGTGAATAGTAAAAATAGTTTAAAAAAAAAATTAGTAGAATTGCAAAATTTTAATTCATTAAACAAAAAATTTAAATAGTAAAAGTAAACATAAGGTTTAAAATTTTGTGTACATTCGGAATTATGTACACAATGTTCACATACATACAGAACACACAAAAATGTTCTGTAAGTATCACCTTATACTTATAGGGAAATTACGATTAACTAGATAAAATTTTTTAAAATCAAATTATTTATAAATATTCTATTTACTTAAGTAATTATTTGTTATATTTTAGAATAAACAAATACAATTACTAAGATTTCTTATATGTACTTACTATAAGTACCCATTTATTGAAAATGTGAATGAAATTCGGAAAACTCATTGTAAATAGACCATTTAATAATACCTATAATAATTGTAATTTTATTCGTTCATTTCTTACATACAATCATATACTCGTATTTAGATTCTTATGTATGAAACCTATAGTTCTTAGTTACTATGAAAATAAATGACATTAAACATATATGTACAAGTAAAATAATATTAAGAAGCGGTAGGTACCTATTTGTTTAATATTCAAAATATTTATTTAAAATTTAATTACTTAAATTAAAAATTACAAATTGGGTAGGTATGTACTTAAGTACCTATCTATATTTTTGCTTTAACGATTTTTAATAAAATTTGTATAAGTAAGCACGTTGTCTAATAGGAACCTTGTATTTCATGATACTATTAAAGCTAATTTTAATTAAAACTCATTATTCTGTTAACCCTTTTTTAAATTTTAATCAATTAGTCATAAGTACTTACTTAGTACATGTGCGGTACTAGATATTTACTATATTTTTATAAGTACTTGTACGAATATATTAATTTAATCAAATATTTAATAATATTGAGTAAATTTGTAAATATTACTAATTATATATGTATATAAAATTTCATTCTACACAATATTATATAAACTATACTTATACTGTATATATGTACATAATATATTCGATTTGTTTATTAAAAAGCAAAAAAAAAACCTGCTGTATTTTGTATAGGTATGAATTCATTTATTAAGTAAAATTAACTTGTATAATTGATATTAAATTATTTTTTAATAAACAATTTATTATTTGCTAAAATTTTTATTATTAAAATTCTAAATTTTAACCTCATTGTGGTTAATTTTTAAACAAAACATAATATAAGTATAATAAGTACCTATACTCTTTTATCGAAGTCAACAAATACATTTAAAGTATTTTTGTTTATATGAAATGTAGGTATATAAAATGTATATAATTTTATTATTATACACAATATTCTGTTATAATATAGAATTATGTGGGTACATATTATGATTTACTTATGTATAAATTATATTTTCCAGCTCATATTGAATATTTGTATAGTAAAGAAAAAAAAAAAAAAAAGCACAAATACAAAGGTAAAAAAAATGAAATACAAAAGCAGCAGACTGCCAGGTTGCTATCAAAAAAAAAAAAATTATTTTTTTTTTTGCTTTTTCTTTTTTGGTTATTCTTAATCAATTTTTATAATACTCGTATTCATTCTTTTTTTTGTTCTTTCTTATCTTAATTATTGTACTCAATTTCTAAAAACCTTACTTTATTAAGGTGCATATTTTGTACAAATAAAACAACTTACCTTAATTAAAGCTGTTAAGAATTGATTACGTATAAAATCCAACTTCAAAGATTTCCAATAAAAATTATTTGAGTGTTATCCCAGAATAGAAGGAAAAAAAAAACAAAACAGAATATTCGAAAAAGTAATTTTTGTGTCTCGAATGTTATGAAAACCTTTTTTTATTTTTTTTTTACAGTAAATTTTTTTTTTATTATTAATTTTTTGCTTTATTGCACATTGGTTTTTTTTTTGTGAAAATTTCTTTAGAATCACTTAGCGAAAAATTAAACAAAAATTTTTTTTTTAAATATTTTGGAATAAAACAGAATTTTATTTTTTATTTTTGCTTGTGCAGCAACTTTTCAACTTCTTCTATTTACCTTCTTTTAAAACAACACAAGTAAAAAACTTTATTTTTTTTTCTGGCAACAAAAAACTTTTCTGAAAAATCTATACAAAATTTTTGTTTGTTTTGTTTTTTTAATATTTAAGAATCAAATTCAATTTATTTTTTCAATAAATTTTGATTAATAATTATTTTCTATTTATTTTTCACCTTTAAAAATATTAAAAAAATCTTTATATTTTTTAATAAAATAATTTTACAAGATTTTTTTTTTTTTACTGTTCCCGGTGTTCACTTTTTACGCTTTGTAATAACATACGTGTTATAATGACGGCTTATAAAATTCAACTGCGCTGAAGAGCCGGAGAGAAGATTTTATGAGAAATTTCAAGTTTAGTTGAAAAAAAAAATATTAAGATTTTTTTCTTTTCTGATTTGGGTATTTTCTTTTTGTTGTTTTTACAAAAAAAAAACACAAACACACACATAAATAAAAGTATTGCCATATTAATTAATAAAAATATTTAATTTTCTCTTCATTTTTGTTTGTTAAATATAATTCTCCCGATTAAAAACGTAATCGCAATTATTATTTTTTATGAAAAATAATAAAGAAAACGAAAAAACACGTTGCCTAGTAATATTAGGCCCTTAAATTTATAGTAATAACAATTCAATTACAATAATCAGGAGTTGTTTTTTTTGAAAATGGTATAAGTCCATTTTTTTAAAAAGACTAAGTTAATGGTGATTTTAATGAGCTATAGACAACTTATCTCCACAGTTACAATCACTATTTCAATAGAGTTCTGCTTGAACATAAAACAAACAAAATATTTTATTGTAATCAATATTTTTAAATTGATTCAAATGCAAAACCTTAAATATGTCAATATATGAAAAAATGGACTTATGCCACTTTAAAAAAAAAAACAGCTCAGTTAAAAGTTTGCAAACAATTTACGAAAATATTTTTATTTTATTTAAAAATTGTTTTTTTTTAACAATAAATTTGTGGAGAATAACATTTAATGTGGCAATGCTTTGTTATGACATCCAAAAAAAAAAAATTTTTTTTTGACATTAAATAAATTACCCGAAAGGAAATTATTTCTTATTCACAATTTATTTTTGTTTAAATATGTTTAGAATTCTCAAATTGACAGATGATAATTTTAAATTCGCCTCTTCAATATTTTGCCATATTAATCTCTCATTTTTAATTTATTTATTATTTACATTATTATTATTCAACTTATAAATTATGACAATTTACCTTACTATTGTGAATTTTCTGCAAAATTTTTATTAAATTTTACAGGTCTTTATTTTTTTTACTATATTGTTGAAATATTGTAGAATTTTGTATAGAATGAAGTAATTTGTAATAAAGCAAAGTAAATAGTTAAAATTTGGTGGATTTTTTTTTAATTTTATCAATCTATAACGAAATTACATTATAAATGTAAATAAAAGTAAACAATTATTTATTAGACGTTATTATTATTCTTGTTTTTTTTTTTTTTAACTACAATATTTTAAAAAATGCAAATAATCTCAATTTTTAATTATCTTTATTTTCTTCAATTTCATCCTTGTATTCATTGATTCTATCAGTTGGATTTTGTGTAACTATAAATAAAATTTTTTTATCTGGTGTCATTATGGTTTCATGATATTTAGTTCGGACTCTAACACAAAGTACTTCATCATTTGGATCAATTTGTTGTAAAATATAAAGTGCTTTTTCATATAATGAAAGATAAATACCACTTTCAACATAACCAGTATCAAGATCCATTGTTGTTTTAATGATAATTCCAGCAAAATTCAAAACAATAACATTTTTAATATCTGGTTTTTGTAAAATAGCATCATATGCATTATTAACATACGTTATAGTTCTTTTGTCTTCCTAAAAAATATCAAAAAATAGAAATTTATTTAGAAAATTTTTTTTTTTTACATATGAAGAAGGCAAATTTAAAATTATAATAATTTTTTATACTAAAGGTATACTGCTTCTGATTGATTTTCGTTTAACCATATTTTTCTCTATAGTCTATATAACGTAGTAGATTATGAATAAAATTATAATTGTGATACAAATCTTAATATTTCCAAATTACACAATATATTTTTGATTTTATATGAAATGTTTTTAATTGTTTGGTTTTTTTTTCTTATGACAGAAAGTCAGTCTATTTTCAATGCACTCTATTTGATTTAAAATATTTTTATTTCAAACTTATGGAAAAAATTTCAAAAAATTCACAATTCAAATAAATCGAAAATTCATTTTTGTTAATTATAGTTTAAAAAAAATTTCCATAACCAGAATCAAAACTCTTTCCTAAAATGTTGAGAAATGTTTCGTCGGTTTTCTAGTTCTTGATTTCGAAAACTGTTATATTCCTAACTGCTTCATCCGGCAGTTCAATAGCACTTAATAATCATTCTTTTTATTAAATTTTTTCTAAATTTTTTTTAAAAATTTGAAAATTTTTTTTTTTATTAATAATAACAGCTTATATAACGGTATAATGGTTTAAGAAATATTTTTCTGTTCAAAGATAATTTTAGTAAATTTTTGTTATTATACAAATGTTAAAATTCAATGCTTTAAATTCCAGAATAATTTTGAGTTCTATACGAATGTCTCACAGTAAAAGTTAAAATAATTTTTTTTTTGTTTTTCTATAAATACCACAAAACTTTTTATGAAAACTTTTTAATTATAAGTAGGTACATAAGTATATGTATATATATATACAGTTAATTATAACTGTTATAATTATTAGTTTCAGATATCAATCATTATAAAATTTGCACGTTTCCCATTCCATTTATATTTAGGTATTATGAGCGTAAGTTCGTGTATTAAAATTACAAAAACTTCAAAAGTAATTAACAATTTTGCATATAAATCTTATAGTTTGTATGTATGTATATAAAATGACTTATATAGGTATATATCTATGAGCGATTATAAAAATAATTTTTGAGAATTACAATTAAAAAACTTAAGGATATAAAGGATTTTCAGAATATAACTGTATATAAGGAGAAAATTATGACAAAAGAAGGAAAACTGCAATTAAATGCAAAAACTGTGGAAAATTAAAGAATTTTTTTTATAATTATCAAATAATATTAAACAGAATTTTTTAAATGATTTATAGAATTTTTTCGGAAATTCCATAATAAATAATTTTTTCTGTAAAAGAATGAACTGTTAATTCAATAATTCAGCAATATATGAAATAGAATGAACTGTTAATTAATCACATTAGGGTTTCAGAATCAATAAGGCGAATATTTAAGGATACCAAACTCAAAATCATTTTACTAAAAATTTTATTTACTTGCAAAAATATGCAAATATTAATTGTAATAATTATTTTTAATTAACATGTGTTAATTAAATTTAATATTAATAATTAAAAATCTAGATCAAATTTGTAATATTATAAAAATATTGTTTACCATATGAAATCTTCGAAAACGAGTGTAAAATTTTTTATCAAAATGAGGTAGTTTCTCTTAATTATGAAAAATAGAAAAGATGTACACTTTTTTTTCCACTTTCAGCTAACTGGAATGCTTTAAACAAACTGAAAAATTCAATTTACGCACAATGCGGTTTCATCATGTATAGGCAGTTTTTCTGATTATAATAATAATGTAATAATTACATAGTAACGCATTTAATGATTTTAATATATAGAACATGGATACTGTTATCAAATAATATGATATAAGTACATACCACGTATATGTATAAACGCAGCTGGAAATGTTACATATACATAGCAGTGTAGGTAATTTATTATATTTCAAGTATTTCTTTTATTGTAACTTTTACTCAAAAAATTAATTAATACATAATATGCATGTACATATTATGTATTAATAAATATAGCTGAATGTTTTAGTGCATGATATAGACATTATAAAGTTTTGAAGTTTAATTGACTGTAATTTACATAGGTGCTTGCCCCATATACACTATATAAGCACTGTACAAACTACACCAGAGTTATTTTATCGCATCGGCAAATATAACAGTAATGTTCAAATTTTAAATTTTAACCACGGATAAGAAAAATTTCAATTTAAACCTGTCGCGGCCGATTCCTCTGATTTTCGTTTCTGATTTCTATTAAAACACCATAAAATTGACTCATTAAATTCATTCCTACTTCATAGTGTGTAAAGAGCTACGGCTGATTACGGTTGTGTTGATGTCAAAGCCAGTTATTCTTCTTATGAATTTTATTTCGTGATTTCAACCAAATTTTTTCGTATTATGCCTTGTATATTTCGTATTATGACGTAAGCTTCGTGCTTCAAATCAAATTTGCAGTTATTGTATAAAATATTCAGTTTATTTCAATAAATTTCTAAAATTCAAATAGTACAATGTTCGAAAAATTATTAAATAGAATTTAATTGAATATTCAAAACTGACAATTTTTTACCTATTAGAATTAAGTGCTATTGTGAATATTAATTTGTCATGAAAACAAAAGAAATTGAAACAATTCAATTGAATATTAAATGTATTCAATTTTATTCAATTAGTTTCAATTTTTAATTTTGACATTAACATTTTGTTGCCAAATTTTGACAGTAAATAAGTAGGAAAAAAATGTGAAAGTACGACGAATTAACTTAGTGAACGTTTCTATTGTGAGTTGAGTAACGAGGTGAAAACTAACAAGTCAACTAAATTAAAAAAAAGTATCATAGTATTAAATTTTTTTTTGGTATTTTATTTTTGCTAATCTTAAATATTAAAATTTAAATATGGTAAGATATTTAATTGAGAACAATTAGAATAATTATTATAACTCTATATTTTTAGTCTCAAGAAGTTGAAGAAACTTTAAAAAGAATTCAATCTCACAAAGGTGTGGTAGGAACAATTGTTGTAAATAATGAAGGTAACAAAAAATATTTTCATGATTAAATCATTAATTTCGAATATGTAAATCGAGTAAATATGAACTAGTGTACTATATTTTAAATAGTTATTTGAATATATTCCAAATTTCCTAAATTCAAAATTATTATTACCTAGTACATGTTACCTAAAAATTTCCTTATTGTATTGTTTTTGATTTAATGTTTGTAGCTCAAGTTGTTTAATCGATTCAACAAAAAAATTCTATTGGCCATTTTACAATGGCCATAATCATTTAAAAATTTAGCAAATGCCACCTACTTATTTTAGTTTTTTTAAATGAATAATTTTTTCGCACAACCAGGTCATTAATTTTAGTATACAGGTTTTAATGACCTAATTGTTGTTGAACTTTTTATTACCAACCGAGAAATTCTTTTTAATTATTATGTTTTCAATTAAAGAACAATAATAAAACCAAAATTTTATTTCGTTAAATGTATGCTTTTATTTAATTTTGAATTATAAACTTTTTTATTAAATTGTTTGAACGCTTTTATAAAAAATACTTATGTTTTAATTAATATTCATTGCGTGATATAAAAAAACAAAAATCAACATTTTAATTTGATTATTATAAAAAATATTTATGTTTAGTAAAATTCTGTGATTTTTTATTGACCGTTCTTAAACAACAAGTTTGTATTTACGTATAGATGTTACATTACCAATTGTTAAAGTTGTAATAAGTTCATCTTCCTTGAATTCGCGAACAATTGTTGTTGGTTTACTACCTTTTTGCTCTTGAATGAATTTATTTGGGCCATCAAATGTACAAACACTTTTAACATTACGTCCATCAATAGTTTCTTCATCGAATTCTTCTCCAGGTTTAAATTTCATAACACTTCTACGGAATGTTGAATCGGTTATAAAAGAATATGATCCATCGGCTTCTTCAACTAATTCAACGGTAGCTGATGTATTATTTCCAATTGTACGTAATAACCAACCAATTCCAAGCTCTTTCATATAATCATCAAAGTTTTCGGATGTTTCCAATCTATATTTTTTGCCTTGCCATAAAGCCATTTTTTAGTTATTTTTTGATAGTTTTGTTAATGAAATAGTTATTAACTTGTTAACTGAATTGTCACTATAATTTGACTGATGAAAATTCTAAAATGAATGCACCTTTTTATATGAATTTAGAAATGTATAAATGCAACATAATTATTATTTTATCAGAGTTTGTGGTCTCTGCCGAATTTTAAAATAAAATTTCTTATCTAAAGAAAATATGAAATTATGGAATTTTTTTTTTTTTCAAAATTAACGTGACTTAAAAAAATGCATTTGTTTTTTGTTGCTCTTTCATTGGAAATTATTTTTGAGGTTTTAATAAAATTTTCTATTCATGATAACATTCTAATAATTAAATTAATTGCAACATTTACAATGCATAATTTAGTTAAAAATCATGAATTTTTTGGGTTTAATTGTTCATAAATAAAATATAACGAATTGGGTATTTGTGCGCAAAACAATCTAAATCATAAAATAATGTTTTTTTAGGAGCTTTGGATTTGTGGTTTTTATTGAGACATTTATTTTTAATTTATCAAGCCAAAATTTGAATCAGGTCATTCATTCCAGTCTGCCAAAAAAATTTTAATTAATAAGATAACATTTTCAAAATAAAGAACAAAGTGTCTGCGGTTTAGACGCAACAAGTCCAATGCTTTGTCTTATGTCTCACGAAATTATAAAACACAAAACACAAACTTTTTTAATAGTTATAGTGAAAATTCAGAATATCTTGTAATTTCTAATTGGTCATGAATAATGCTTGAAATATTAATATTCTTTAAAAATATTATGCTTTATAACTTATTAACAATTTATTAATTTATATTGGTATAATTTTTCTTTTAGGCATTCCAGTTAAAAGTACATTAGATAATACAACAACTGTCCAGTATGCTGGTCTTATGAGCCAACTATCAGATAAAGCAAGGAGTGTTGTCAGAGATTTGGATCCATCAAATGATTTAACATTTTTACGTGTTAGATCTAAAAAACATGAAATTATGGTTGCACCAGATAAAGATTTTATATTAATTGTAATTCAAAATCCAACAGATTAGAAAAATTTCATTGTGCACTTAAATTTCAGGAAAAATTTTTCTTAAAACAAAGAAAAGTATATAAAATATAAAATAATAAATTATTTATGAACAGATTATTAGTAAAGTATTGCTTTAAATTGCACGTTTTCACAAAACGTAAACAGGAATGAAATTTTTAAAATTTTATTTACATATTATAAATATAAAACTGTACACAAAAATATTTGCAATAAACGACTAAGTGTTGATATAAACATAATTAATGAAAGGTTTCTAAATCTTTTTTATTCCATTTGATTTGAAAATTTTTTTTTCCTAAATGATTGCACTTTATTTAATCAATTCATATTGCACATATTTAATTTGATTATTTTTATATTATTTCTGCATTTTATAAGTTTTATCAACATTTTGCATCATGACAAGATAAAGTTGCAATTTTGTCTTCTAATACTTCTTTTTCAATTTGTAAACCATTTTCATCAACACAATAGCATTCTCTTTTTTCATCATTGACTTTCCGACATTGCAACTTAATATAGAAAAAAAAATGGTAATATTTCACATGAAATTAGTGAATACCTCATTCTAATATACCTCTTTAAAGTTTCCGTTTGGACAACACTCAGGAATTTCTTTTTTGTTTCTTTTTAATAGATCTTGAGTACGAGCACATTCTATGGAAAAGTAATAATGATGAGGTTTTGATTTTCCTAATTCTTAATATTAAACTTACTACAATTCATAGATTCTGCTTCTTTAGAATTTTTTGGAACCGAATAATTTTCTATAATTCTATTAAATTTATCTACACAAAATTTTGATGTTGAATTTTCATTAAATGAATTAAACCATCCATCTGGTTGGCATTCTTTTACAATCATATCAAATGGTTTAATATTTTTAGATAAAGATGAATGTATTTTATTTAAAAAATCCATTATTATTTCTTCGCAGTCATGATGATATTTCCAATCTGTGTGCCAATTTCGATTATCTTAAATTTAGTTGTTACGTTATGTAGTGTTCAAAGTATGTAAGAAGATTAAAATCATAAATACTTACAACATGGTAAATTTTGATAAGAGATTTCAGTTAAATTATAAATTCTATCATTAATTATTGATCCACTTTCTCTTTCAATACAAGTACAATTTTCGTTTAAACATTGTAAAGGATCATAACTACCGTCACCAAGGCATCTAGCTTTTAAAACAGGATATTTAAATTTAATCATATCGTTAAATTTTTTATTGGCACGTGAACATTCACAATTCATTGAAAATTTTGTTGATTCTGTATAAATTGCTTCTCCAAATATTCTAGTTCCATCTTCATCGACACAAAAACATCTTAAAAGTAGTTTTAATTTTTAAAAAAAATATTTTTCTGATTGTTTTGAATCGGAAAACAGATCTAAATACGTACGTTTGATTAACATTACATTTAATTGGTCCATATTTTCCATCGCCATTGCAAACTGGTTTTTCAACATATTTCAATGGTTTACCTTCTTTGATTGTTTCATTATAACGTTTCCATTCATTGAAACAATCTGTGTTCACTTTTAAAAAAAAGAGCTTAGTTAAATTTAATGTACATATATTTTGTATAAAGTAATCTTTTAAAATACTTAATTTGCAACGATTATCTTCGGACTGACATGACAGCCCTGGACCACACATCATCATTGGCGGTGGGGTTTCTGGAGAACCAATGGTACAAAATTCATTCTCAGCTTAAAAGAAATTATTTTTAAGAATACTTGGAATTTTTTTTATAAAAATTTTCGTTCACAAATTGCAAATTTTAGAAATTTCAAGGCAAAGAAATAATTTAATCAGTTTGTTTTTTAATGATTTACTTAATATTAACTATTTAGATACTAGTTAATATTTTATTCAATTCTAAAGTAGTAATAAGGTTCAATAAAGTTATTAATTGTAAAGTTTTTACCTAAATATTTCATACAAATTTTACAGCATCCACAAGGCCCTTCACCAGCAAAATATTCTCCTTTTAAATCATCGCATGCATCCGACATAATATTGCATGAATGCGTATCTACATATTTCTTTAGATGTTTAAAATTATAATAAATTTAGTTTTAAAATATCGAGTATCATTAATTTTGTTTTGAAAGATATAATCAAAATTCATACTTCACAAAAGTTTGGACTGCATTTAAGATTATGAGTAGAAGATTGCGAAAAAATCGTGACAAAAATGTATAATGAAAATAAAAAATATAATTGTTTCATATTTTTTTTTTAAACAATTAGATCAACATTTAATTAAGAATACAACAACACTAAACACTCAATTATTTCCTTTGCAATTTATAAATTCTAACTTACATTTATTATCTTATCAGATTCGATATAAAATTTTATCGATTTCTTGATAAAATCTTGAATTTTCTTTATCATTTACTGCATGTTTACATATTTATTTTTTAAAATTGCAGTTTATTTTCAATTATTTCTTGTGACGAATGTATATAAATGGTATTGCGGAATTACCGTTTTCAAAATTAGTTCAGAAACCAATTGGCAACGAATTTTATGTTTCGCTAAATAAAATTCAAAGTTATTATAGTTCAAGGACAATCGTAGACATTAATTTACATAAGTATTACACTCAAATCGCATTATCTGTACAATTAAATCGTAACTGCGGTGAGCCTGAGTATACGGTAGTGATATCGAGTGTTAATTTTGAGTTAACTAAATTAATTATACATCATTATCAAATTCAAAAAATGAGACTCCAATGACAATGGTGAACCCCTACAATCATATTTATTGGGTCATAGATTTAAAGTAATTTTAAACAAGAAAACCAAAATTATATAAGTTTCATATTTTTTGTATATAATATTACTTTTTGTATATAAAATACTTTATTATTAACTACTTAAAAGAACAGCTTTGCCAAACTGCAAACACTTTTTAATTTGTTTACTATTTGACAATTAATTGCATTCTATTTCACATTGGTATCATGAAATTCACAATAGATATATAAAGTGTTTTATTCAAATTAAATTTGGAATAGCTTTAAGGCTTCCCAATTGATCGGCTTAGTGGATTTGTTATATATATCAACTAGACTATGCAATGTAATACTTTTCCTTTTTTTTTGTGAAAATTGTTACTGTTTAAAGGTAATAAATAAAATGATGAAATGTACTTGATATATTACATTCTTGAACTAGCTGCTATGAGAAGTGACTTCAAGCATTTTTCAGTATAAAATTAAATTAAAAATTCAAAAATTTGTATAAATTTTTTCTCAGTTAATTGAAACCATATCTTACACTTTCTTAATGTTAAAGAGACCATGAATAATTTTCTTGCTTTGTCAGGATAATTAAATTGAGCCTTATATCTTATTATAAATCCAACAGCTAAAAATTATAAAAAATGAAAATTTTTACAATAAAAAATTGAATTTTTATTAGCTTTCAATATTTTTTTTTCCATATATATATATATATTTTTTTTTGTTTTTTTTTGTTTTTTTTTTTTATACATTATATGCGTTTATTTTTCTTTGTATGTTTTTAATTTCTTTTCTTTTCTTTTTCAATATAGTTATTAATTAATGTTCTTTTGTTTTTATATCATTTATAATTAGTAACACAATATTTTATTGGGTAAGGGCTGAGGGAGGGAGGGAGGGGGGAGAGGAAATATTTTCAATTTTCAGTTTTCTTTTTTAATAATTTCAATTTTATGTTTTCAATATTTTATATTTTTTATATATTTTTTTCTTTTATAATTCTTTTTGAAAATTTCATATTTATTTTTTATTGTATTTTTTTTTGTTTTCTTTTTTTCAATACTTAATTTTATTTTCTTTTTTTTTTTGTATAATATGATTATTTAATTTTATTTGAATTTTTAGAATATTATATTTATTTATTTTATTTTTATTTTTTAATTTCTTTCCCTTATTTTAAATATAACTTTGTTTTTTTTTTTTTTTTGTTTTTTTCTTTAGTTTTCTTTTATGTATATGTATAATATTATTAATATTTATGTTTTATAATTTGTATTAATGTTTGATTAAAGTGTTTTTCTTTTCTTCTTTTTTTAAATATTTATATATGAATATTATAATTGTGTGATTAATTTAATTTTATATTAATTTGTTTTTATATTTATTTAATAATAATATTTTTTTTTTTTCTGTGGTAGAGTTTGACAAAACAAATAATTTATTTTCTTACTTGAAATCATTTTGATTTTTTTATTTAATTTTTAATTTTCATAAATTATTGAAACAGAAATTAAGATTTTGAAAAATTTAAGTTTGTTTTATCTTCTCTAAGGAAGATTTTCTATTATAATAAAGGTTTTCTTAAACCAAATTAAGAAAATCTTCCTTCAAGAAACTTTTCAATTTTTTGGAAAGTAAATTAAATTTAAAATATTTTTTTTTTAATTTACTTTAATCTTTTGTATTTTGAATGCAAATTACATAAAAAAACAATTTTTTGAAAATATTAAAGTTGAAAATTTATTAAAATTCTATGAATTTTTTCAAATTTTTTCTATTAAATTAATTCCAATTGAATGAATTCATTGTTTTTGTATTTGTGTTTTTTTTTTTGTCAAACTCTGATTTGATTTTTAAATTTTCTTTTTAATTTTATTTGCTTTATTCTCTCTTAATAAAGAAGAAAAATTACTTATAATTATTTATTAATTATTTTTTTTTTTTCATTCAATTTCTTTTTTTTGATTATTTAACTTTTTTTTTCTGCTTTAATTATTTTATGAATACCTTTTAAGGTAATTTTTTTTTTTTAATTTTAATTACATATTTTTTTTTTTGTGATTTTCTTTTATATATTTTAATTTTTAGTTTATTAATAATTTTAAATTTTTAGTTTAATTTTTAAATTCATTTTTTTTTTATAATGTTTTTTTTTCTCTTTTTCAAAATTCGAATATTTAATCAACTAGTATTTTATAATAATTATAAACACTAAAATAAAATTATAAGTTTTTTTTATCGATAATTTTCTTTTTTTTTTTTTTTAGATTTTATGATAAAAATAATAACAGAATTTAAAAAAAAAAAAAGCAATAATTAATGCATTACTTAAAATATTGGTAAATTCAAAATAATAAAAATTTATTTTTAAATTTATTACGGCTTATTACAAAATATAAAATTTATAAATTATAAAAATTTTTTTTATAATGTTTCATAAATTTCAAAAATATTTAGATATCAAAGGAATAATATATTGTAATTTTTGATTTTTCAAATATATGCATTACTAGATAATTTAAATTTAATTTTCAAATTCAATGAAATTTATTATTTTTTTTTTTATATTGAATACTAATTTAATAGGAATAAAAATAGGACATAAATAATTGACATAATTAATGGTCATAACTATTTTTATTAATTACAAAGAATAAATATTAATGTTTTATGAAAAATGAAATTTATCAGCTCATTTATTTAATTAAATTATATTTTTATTTGTAAATTCTAATATAATAAGAGTGTTTCCTTTGATATTACAATATTTAACTTATATATAAGCATAATGTGTTTTTTATAATAAAATTATAAAATTGAAATAAATTTTTTTGTTTTTTTTTGTTTTATTGAATTGGTTTTGGTTTTTATTTTGTTTTGCATTTTGAATGCTATTTATTAAATTATTATATAATCTAACAATTACTTAATTTTAAATTTTTTTTTTCAATTAATTTATTTGTTTTATATCATATTTTATATTTTATTTTTGTTTTGTTAATAATTCTAATATACTTTAATAATTTTATATAATATATAATATGAATATATATATATCTATATATATATATATATATATATAAATATATATATATATATATGTATTTCATTTTTCCCTCATTTTTAAAGTTAATTTTAATTTTATTATTGTATAATCAATTTAGTTTTTGTTTAATGTAAGAATTAATGGTATTTTTGTTTTTTCTTTTTTTTATATATTTTAGATTAAATTTTATGAATTTTTGGATTGTTATTCTTTAATTTTTTTTTTTATTAATGTGGATTTGTATAATTTTTTTTTTTTTGTTTTTCATGTATTATATTTTCCTCTCATCACAAAAACAAAATTTATTTTGTGTTATAGTATAGCTATAATATGTTTGTTATTTAAATAATATTTTAAAGGGTTTTAAGGGTTTCATTATTTTTGTATCAAATAAAAAAATACTAACAATTTTTTATTTAAATTTTCTTTTTTTCTTTTTTATTTATAGAATCAATAATGTGTTTGAATTTTCATTATTATTATTTTGTATTTTTTTTCTTTTATTTTCTTTTAAATTTGATTTAATAAATATATTAAAAAATATATTCTTCTTTTTTTTTATTTATTTATTTCTTCAATTTCTTTAAATTTTATCTAAATATTTTTCATTAAAGTGGTTGTTTTTTGGAATATTTAAATAATTTTTTTTCTTATTAAATGTGTGTTTTATTTTTTTTTTGTTTTATGTTTAAATTTTGTAATATAACAAAATTTTTTATTAAATTTAGATTATAACATAAATTTTCAATGAAAATATTTTTGAACATAAGAAATAAAGAAATTTCAATTTAAGAATAATATTAAAAACTAAATGTGTCGAGTTTCGGAATGCATTTTGGTTTTTCTTTTATATTATTGAAATATTTTTTCAATTTTCCTCTAATTTAATTAGTTAATATCACAAAAAAAATTTGAATATATAAAAATTTAATTAAAAAAAAATATATATTAAATTCAAGTATATATAAAATATGTTTTAAGTTCAATTCATAAGGAAGATCTTTTAATATTTATTTTATTTATTTATATTGATCTTTTTATATTTATTTTCGAGTTACATGGATTGGAATTGTAGAAACTATAATTCCAATCCATTTTATATTTAAGATTAAAATAATAATAATATTGTAAACTGAACTGTTTTCTTTTGAATTTTTATGAAATATTTAATATAAATATCATACGATTCGAATTATAAGTTTTTTTTTTTCAAATTTTTCGTTATTAATAAAAATTATTAAAAATATTTAAGAAATAAGAGAACTCAACACTCTTAATTTACATTATGATTTCAGAATTCATAGAACACACATTTTAATGGTTAAAATTTAAAATAAATGTAAAAACTATTTTAAGTAATGGTTACGGAAAATAAACATTTTCAGAATCGGCTTCAGCTAAAACACATCAGCATTCAACATTTCATTGTGTCAACTTTGTATCAAAACACAATTCTGTTGACATTCGGTAAATTTATCCAAAAATCTTGAGTAATTTTGGTTTTTGTTTTGTTTTTTTTTTTTTTGTATGTTTTTAAAGAAACTGTACAGGCATGAAAGGTATTTTTCCAACATGAAGTGATGCATTTGCCGGTCTAAAATAAATTAAATTTTTTAAATATTTTTAATATTAGAGATTTGTAGAATTAACTAAAATTTGGTAAAAAAAAAAATAAGAATAATTCAACTGAACTTACCTTACAAATAATAAATTGGTTGCTGTTGCTGGACCAGTTTGAATTCGATTGTTATTTGCATGTGCTGCAGCTGCTTGAACTTTTGCATTATTTGCTTGCATATTATCTGCTGTTGTTATTGATGTTGAACCAATTGTTGAAGATGATATTGATGATATCGATGATTTATTATTAATATTTATTCCACCATTTATATTTGATGAAAGTGTTCCATTTCCATTGTTACCAACAACATTATTTCCACTGTTATTATTACATCCATTAATATTACCACCAATACCACCACCACCTCCAACTCCTCCATTATTACCATTGCCCATCATACCATTTCCTCCACCAACTACACCTGAAACATTCCCCAATCCATTTCCCATACCATTAACTCCACCATTACCAATATTACCTCCTCCGTTAATACCTCCAACATTTCCATTTCCATTTCCACCTCCAACACCAATACCAACACCAGATATTCCCTTATTCCCATTTATAATACCATTATTTCCTCCAATCCCAATACCCCCATTATTACATAAACCACCATTATTATTAGCAATACCGATATTTCCATTTGCATTTGTATTTATCGAATTGCTGTGTCCAGCTGGCAGTAAATTTCACCTATTAACATGTACACGGTTATGATTTGAGTTTGCTGTTGCACCAGCTAAACCAGATAATTGTCCTGGTCCACCCATATTTGTATTTCCTCCGCCTTGATTCACTAAAATAAAATAAAGAAATCAAAAAAACAAAGAAAAACCAAATAAGAATATAAGAATATGGTTTAGTATTTTCGTTAAAAACTTAATTTAAAAAACCTTAAATTAAAAAAAAAAAACAAACTTTTATAATTATACAGTTTGATGAATTTTTCGTAATGTGATGTGATCAGATTTTAAGAGAATAATATTAATATTGTATTTGTGTAATTATTTAAGAAAAAATAATTTTTAAAAGCACAAAATATCAGAATGGCAGTAATGTTGTGTAAATAATGCAACAGTTAAGTAGTAAGTACTGCCAAGCTATATATGGTTTTGTATTACAGTTTTATCGAATTTTGATAAAACGGCTGTATAGATAGTTGCATGTACAAAAATATGTAAAGTGTGAGAGTTTCTGAGTAATTCCAAAAGAAATTCTAATGCAAATTGTTAAAAATTTTTTAAAATGTATTCGAAAATTTTAAAGTACAAGTCTCTACGCAAATGCAATTCTAACATAAAATTTTACTTATTTAAAAATAAAGTTTTCTCTCTAAAGTAAGAACCTAATGAACCTTAAATTAACGCTAATGTCAATTTGTTTTATTTAGTGTCCTGCTGAATAAAGCAATTTCATATCAGATCTGCATTTGGTATTCAAACATTATACGATTATATGGTATCGGAAATTTTTTAGTTTGCAACTAGAAAATAATTACTAACTTGTTATTTAAAACAAAAATTGGAGTCATGACGTTCTAACAAATCATACACATTTTATAAATTTTTATCTCTTCTTATGTTTATGTTTTGAAATATAACAAATAATTTGATCAATAATAAATAAAAAGAAACTCACAAGATGAAAAGGGAATTTTTTTTTTTTTGAAAATAATTTTTGAAAAATTTCCAAAATTTCAAAAATTTGTCATTAATTATGTAATAAAAAAAAAATTGCAATGTGTGCATATGACACTTTAACACAACAATATCAATGCATCAAAAAATCATTTTAAATTAAATTTTCTTGAAAATTATTGGAAAGAGTCCATATGGAATTAAATTAATGGTGTATACTGAGTCAAAAATAAATCAACTTCATTTCTTATTTATCGCAATTTATTTATAAAGGTAATATTTTTTTTTTTTATTTTTTTTAGAAGACAAAATATTATATATTTTTTAAAATATATGTAGAATATAAAATGAAATAAATTTAATTAATCATTAGAATTATTATATATGTATGTATGTATGCACGAAATAATAAATTATAAAATGTTAATGGCAATATAAAATGAATTAACCTTGATGTTGAAAGAGAAATATTAAAAAATAAGCAAAAATTGTAAATAAATTATTTTTACAGAAGCAACAGTTTGACGAGATCATTTTTATATTTTAATGTATTCAACACCAAGTCAATCAATTTTGTAATATTATGTATGTATGTTATGACATAAAAACGAATTTTCACATTTGAACGTATTAATTTTTCTTTTTTTCTAATTAATATCTGTTTCACAAAAGAATTTTTATTATAAATGCAAGAAAAAAAAAAATTAGAGTATATCTAATTAATTTGTATTTAAAATTAAGTTTATATTTTCATGAACTAAATTGATTTAAATGATGCGTGGACGTAACATTTATAAATTTAATGTTGTAAAAATTTGGAATTTAGAATTTTAAAATTAATTATTAAAAATTGCATTTTATTTTTATTATTCTAAATGTAGAACATAAAAGTGACATCTATGTGTTGATAGTGGAATATTAATTTATTGTTATTCTTTATTATTATCTGGGGGTTTTCGTTTATTCAGATCTAGAATAGTTCTAGTTCGAAAATTCAGGCTACATACACTGAAAATATAGATCGTTCAGAAATTACTGTTTAACGCTGCGTCTTAGAAATTTTATTTCTAATGGAGAACTTTCAGCGCAGCATGCATAAACGAAAACCCCCTCTTACTCGAATTCTATGAATTTCTAGTATTTAAATTGTGATTAACTGATTTGATTGGTAATATAAGAAAATTTTCATAAACACAAAAATACAAATGGCAGTACTGCGAAAATATGACATAATTAAATAATAACTATTCTATAAAAGCAAGGGCCCGTACGATTTAATGGTGTTATTCATAACAATTTCACTATATTTCTGATAAAGATAATTTAGCAAAATTAATAAACAAAACTAGATTAGGAACATTTGTTTTATAAATGTAAATAAAGTGCAGTTTTTACTATATGCATTTATGGCGAGGTCTTAAGAGCTTTTAATTAAATTTAAAATTAGATTTATAGATTTTGTAACAACAGGGTTGAATTGGATTTTAACCCATTATTAGCTGGATATATTGTGACTCCCGATTGACTACAGACAAGTACAGTGTTTAAAGTACCCCACGACACTTATTTTTTCAATAAATTTCATAACCTTGTGAAGGTGAACATTCTTTGTAGCCTTTCTGTTGGAAAACAAAATACTCTAGATGTACAAATATATAATTTTAAATACAACTTTATAAATTTAATTTCAAATTTAGAAATTATTTTAGAAAAATTATAAAACATTGCAAAAACTACAGTAAATTCAATTTGTATTATTAAGAGAAAAACATTGAAAAAATTTGTGTGAATCGATAATTAATTCAATTAAATTTTTTTAAATAAAAATTTTATATTGCAAATTGAAACTATATACATACATAATATTATAAATTGAAATTAAAATTCTAAATTTTTTTATGTAACAAATCCCAGCACGTCCCAATACATTAAAGATTTACAAATATTTTTGTTATTCTCTGAAATTGGATTCAATTCTTTTCATATTTTTTACTACTACAATTTACTGAATTATAAAAAGGAAATTTCAAAATATTTTGAATTATTTAGAATTTTTATTTTTACTTTTCCAGGTTTGTTTATATTATTCACCATTTATTGCTATATTTATTAATTACAAATGACCTTGATCAAAAAGATATTTCAAACTCATAAAAACAAAAAAAAAATATCGTAAAATGGATCAAGTTAATGCCAAAGTTTTCTATGTCAAGTATAGAAAACCATAAATTGAAATGCGCGTCGTCTTACTCTAAATTTTTCTAAATAATTTATGGGAATTTGTAGTAAGAGCTATAATAAAAAAGAATTTTTTTACGATAATATTTTAGCCTATAAAAATTTTAATGTTATTTTAAACAAAATAATAAAAATTTTAAAATAAATATTATTAAAATTATAATGAAATTTTAAAAATTTCAACAAATAATTTAATTGGGATATTATTTTCAAAATATTAGATTATGTAAATTTCGAAAGTTATTAAAAAATATTTTAGATCAAGGCCAAAATCTAAAAAAAAAATAGAAAGAAATTTGAAATTGTTAAACAATAACCATTTATTTTTCAACTTCGAGAATTTCACTTCTAATATGAGAATTTCACATCTAATCATATGGGCTATTTTTTGGAAAAAGGCAAATATCTAGTTTTTTGTCCAATTTGATAGCAATTTTGAAAATAATAAAACTAATTTTAAAAAATCCATTACTGTTTTTCGATTTTATTGATCCAAGCTAAAACAATGAACTTCAAAACAATTTTGAAGCACAAACTTATTTGTTCATGTCAAGCAAATATCTTTTTTTTTATTTTTCTAAAAAATTTTGATCATGTCGTATGAAATCCACGCTTGGACCCAAATCAAAAAGTAAAAATTCTCTTTCGTTATGTTGGGCATGAACAAAAATTAAAATTTTTAATTTCATATTTTAGACTTTTACAATTCTTTTGTAAGATCAAATTGTTACAAGATCAAATTCAGTTTTGAAACGAAGCGTCGATTTCACAAAATTGCAAAATTGCAAATTAATTTTACAAAAATTATTACAATAAACCAATTATGGGACAAGGTTATGTCTTTTAATAACAATAATTAATATTCCAAAATTTTATGGAGAATATTCTATTATATGAAATTTCTTAAAAAATTGAAGCTATTCTGTTCCAATCGAAATTCTCAATTAAATGAAAAATTTTAATAATAAATTTTAATTATTTCTCGCCGTATTTTCAAAGCAATAGCTTCATAAATTGTGAAATATCAAAATATATATTAAAAATAAAAAATTATTTAAAAAATAATAAAATAAATAAAATATAGGGACAATGGATAAAACCTTTTTTTTTTTTTGAAAATTCTACAATAATTTTCTTATCTAACTACAAAAACAAAGTTATCATATTTTTCATAAATTCCACCTGCTGAGTAAATTTCAAAAGAAACAAAAAAATTTCGCCCCAAAATAAAATTGAAAAACAAAAATTGTTGCGTTCTAATTGCCGTACAATAAAAAAAAAAATAGGATGATGTTCTAAATTTTTAATTTTATTTATTTTTTTTTTTTTTTGAAAATTTTTATTTTCATTTTTTCTGCCGTGAAAATTTCTTGACGCAATCCAACAAATTATTATGTTAATAAGTTAGTGTTATTTTGTACTCTCCTGATTGTATAATATTCAAAAAAAAAAAAAAAGAAACCAACAAAAAAGAATTCTTTTTTAACAAGTTGTTCCATTCATTCTAATTTTGAAATTAAATTGTATTTTAAATTTTAAAGAGAAAATTTTTCATTTACTTTTTTTTTTGTTAGTTTTCTAATTTTTCTTATTTAAATTTTCAATTTTTTAAATTTATTGTCTTTCATTCAAATTGCGTATACAATATGATTGTATATACTCGTATATATATATATTTGTATATATATATAGGTATATTTATTAAGCATTTAAGAAAATTATT